AGAAAGAAGCCAACACAGAAAACATCATGGATTACAAAGGCATTTCAAGGCAATGGATCACAAATGAAATTTAGGGTGCTGTTATCGATATGGTATGGGGTACAAAAGAATGGAAAAACAAATTGGAACAAGCAAGGAGGAATCATTTAATGCAAAAGAAGGAAGCATTACAAAGCACATGGGTGGTTCAGCTCCATTCCTTGTTCATTCAAAAAGGATGGTATGAATTAATGTTTATATGTTATGCTTTACATACTACTACTTCCCATATTCTAATATGCTTTACATGTTATGTAAAATATACGCATTATAATTAAGTTTAGTTATAAATGAATGTCGGCAAATGAGATAAATCAAGATGTTATCTTTGTGGAAGTATTCAACCACACCTATAATCGTTTAAGGGGTCATGGTGATTTCATAGACAATAAGTCTAAAACTATCAATGTACGTAAAAAATTGATTGATTTTTACTCAAAAGTTAACAATAAATTTATATACTAATTCTTTTCACTTTTTTTTATTTGTAGGAAACATATACTAAAGCAATATCACAGAAGTACGGTGAAGATTCATCCTCACACCCAGAATTTGATCCACATGCTTGGACTAAAGCAATTGGAAGGATGACGACTACATGCACTTATGTCTATGGGTTTGGTTCTCAGAGGCCTACTACAACTCTATTTAATGATGTAGTAACATCCGAATCAGTACCTAACCTTTGCACTAGTGCTGACATTAGGTTGAAAGAAAAAGTAGAAAATCTATCACTTGACGTGAGTCAAATGCATGAGCAAATGGTGCAACATTTGGAGCTATGAACGAATTTATGACGAGTATGAAAGCAATGATGACAAAGAAGCATTCAAAAAAATGCCATGTGAGTACTTCAAGTTCAGATTCGGACGAGTAAGGTGACATTTCATGATAATAGCCTATTTTCTGAATTTGACTTGGATACCTTTTTTAATATAGTATATAATAGCATATTTAACTTTGTTTTATATTTGCATATTGTGTGTTTGAAATGATTTTTAATCCTACCAATTCGACTTTGAATTAACTATTTTAATTGCATGTTAATTGTCAAAAGATTATTTTATTAATTTGTAATTATGATTATTTTAATAACAAAATTTACATTTTTGGGGATTCCTATGAAATTTTCCATTAATAGAGCATTTCCAATGGAAAATTCTATTTGAAATTACTAACAAATTTTCCAATGGAAATTTCCATTGGTATTGGTTTTCAACGGAAAATTTCGAAAGAAAATCAGTTACAAATTTCCAATGAAAAATTCCATTGGTAAATTCCAATGGAAAATTCGGTTAGAAATTAGTTGGTAATTTTCAATGAAAAATTTTGTCGGAAACTCCGTTGGAAATCCATTGGTAATTTTTGATGAAAAATTTTATTGAAAATCTGTAGATAATTTCCAATGGAAACTTCCGTTGAAATTTTTGTGTTTTTCGATGGATTTTGTGAAAAATAATATATCAAAATTTAGCTTTTTCTCAATGGATTTATGTATATTTCCAATGGAAGTTCTCTGACGGAGTTTCGACGGATTTTTGATGAAAAATATTTTTGATTACACTTGTAGAGATGAAATCTTTGATGGAAAATTTTGTCTAAAATCCATCAAAAAAAGCATTTCCAACAGAAACTTGACTATTTCCTACAAAAAATTCCATCGAAAAAAGTCTTTTTTTTGTAATGTCAATAGATCATGCTCAGACTCCAAATTGTCAAAACTCCAATCCTCCAAATTCATTTCTCTAAGTCCCCAATGCATTTTCATTTCAACCTACATCTCAAATCATCCATATAATTCAAGATTTTCAAACACATACTCAAATATAATTCAAAGTCATCCTTTATGGACATACACATTATCAATGGTGTACAAGTATATACAATTAGCTTCAAATTAGCTCACCAAAGAGCTTAGTTAACATTACACATAGTTCATATCAAAGTCGGGGGTATTACATATATGATCATAAGTTATGGATGAATTGCGAAATTATTGGTAGATTATATTGTTAAATTTTATATTAATTCAGGATTATTATAAAAAAATTAAAACACAAAGTGTACTTGATTCTTGATACTTGATTTGACAATGAAAATAATAATAATCAAATTAATTGTTGGGATTCAGTCCACTAGGGTATTCCTCATAACGTTATAAGTAACTCTCAAATAAGGAAAATCTTACGTTATTGTAGGCAGCAGAGGAGATCTAACCCTAACTTTATATAGTAAATCCCAATTCCCACCCATCATAAAATTTATGATTTCTTACATAAGTTTACACTTTTAAAGCTCACATATAACATTCAAGTCTAAATATCAGTCTACTAGATCATATTATAAATTCAAATATTATTTTTTTATCAAGATTAAATTAACTTAACTTGATTTTGATAGAATACAAAAATAAAAAAGGTAAGGTCACACTTTAATTTTACAATACGTATGTATGTATAAATGGTTATGTGAGCTCCATCTATAGGAGCCAAAACTGGGAAAGCGTTGCAAATCTGATAGAATGTGCCTTACAAAATTCTTAATGTGGATGCTAATTTCTATGCTCCTATGTAATTCTGTTCTTTCTTCCCTCCATTTTCCTTCATTCCTACTATAAATTAGTATAACTTTTCATGGGAATGACGGTGATGATTGAAAATAATAACTGCCTTGCTTACAGCATCTCAACTTTTCCACGTTTATCCTTGTCAACATGCACTAACTAAAAGTGCTGTACATAGTAGGAAGTATACATAGAAAATGACATATATAATTAGGTCACTTTCATATGAACAACTTTCATGATCAGTATTTATTAATTTAATCCCAACCAACTACTTCAAATTTAAAGTTGTCATGAAAGAATTAAATATTATGGGAGACAAAAAATGGGTTTTGTTAAAGTTTATTAGCATGATTATTCTGTGCTTAGCAAGTGGTGCTTTTCAGATTCTTTTTTGTATTAATTTAGTACTTGAGTTGGCTATGTCTAGCATAAACATACAACTGGATGCGACCCAAGAGGTTCTAAGTTGTATTTGCCTGTCAATTACTGACCTTCCATATTTTAACAAGCTGAGATCAAAATCTATGAAAATGATTTTTGACTCCCTCTATTTTGTGAAATCATACACATTTCAATTCCTTGGGCCATAAACAAAACCAAAATGTTCAAATGTATACTCTTAATTTATAGACATAATATTTAACAAAACTTTAAATTATTTAAAAATATTTAAATATGTTTTTATTCTTCTATAGTATTCATTCAAGCTTGTATATTTATTTTTGGATAAAATATATCATTATCACTAATGATTGACTAATTATCATTAGTTAAATACTGTTGTCATTTTAGGCCCACATGGTGTTGATATGAAAGGGAAAAATGTCAAATGATCATGTCATTGTACTATATTAACATCTTACGTCATTATTCATTATGACATGTCAGTATGCAATGTAGACATTGCGTGGTATGGAATAACAGGTGACATTTTGACTAATAACAATTAATCAACTATTAGTCATAAGAATTTATTTAATTCAAAATAAAAATATAAGAGTTTGATTGAATGCAATAAAAGAATAAAAACTTATTTAAATTATTTTAATAATTTAAGAATTGTTTTAGGTATTACATCTAATTTTTATTGATCCCTCAAGCCCTTAAATGTTAAAATGGTGCTAATTTATAATTAGTACATCGCTCTTTTAGCGAATTACCATGAGAAAAGCTTATACTAAGTTTGAGTAACACATGACGTAGGAGCTAGAAATCTAAATAATCAACTATACCCAAAAAGACATAGATAGATTGAAGAATTAATTGACATGGCAATCCAATTTTGAAAGCTATGTTTATTATTGTGTAGAAATATATTGGCTTTGCTAAGTTTCTTTACATACCTTAAGGTGATAATTATAAGTTTTGGTCTAGAAAAGATGGTCCCTGCCTCTGCCCATAATTTTAATTGCAAATGACTTAATTTGTAGACCATTTCCAAACAAAAATAATGGTCCCTACTTTTTATACTTAATCTAGTTAAGATTTTAATTTAGGATCTCACATGAGTTTAATCTTTTTGTTTGATTGAGTGATCTATATTCTATTTTTTTGGTACAAAAATAGATTTTTTTTAATTCTAATACTAAATTATTGAAAGTAATCATTCACATCTCATTTTTCATGTAAAACTTTGGATTTGTTTCAAATTCTAGTTATTAAAATAATTTAAAATTATTTGATAAAAAAAGTACACATGTTTTTTAAAATTAATTTTTTAAAAATAATATCCAAACAAGTTTTTGAACTATTTAAGAAAATCAAATAAATATTTATTCTTTTATTATATTCAATCAAATTTTTGTGCTTTTTTTTAGAATACTTTGTATTTTTATTTTAGATTAAATAAGTTCTTATGATTAATAGTTAACTAATTATTATTAGTAAAAATATCACTTGTCATTTCTTAATATCAGTGGCATGTTGACATGTCATAGTAAATAATAATATAGCATGATAATGTGATATAATAGCATGAGCACGTAACATTTTTACCGTCTATGTCAATGACAAGTGAAAAGACCTAGTGATAAAGGACAATTTAGTCTAAAATAAAAGGATAAGAATTTCATTAAATTTCATAAAAAAATAAAAAATTTATTTAAATTTTTTAAAAATAATTTAAAAACACTAAAATATTATGCCAAAAATAAAAAGTTTGAAACTATTTTGGTTTTTTCATCACATTGGTGGAAGAAAGTAAACATTTTGTTCAAAACATGGATCGTTATTTTCCCTGCTCCCTCTTCAAAGCATTAGAAAATGGAAACCAAGCAAGCCCATGAATTCTCCATAGTCCAGTCCTATTAGGAACTGGCATGGATTTCAAATTGGGTTCCGTGGGCTAGATTTAAGCCATGCCCAAATCGGTTCGGTGGGTGTCGGGGCATTTCCAAGTGCACCATGATTGAAGCTATCTTCGAGGTTGAAGGAGGTGATTTCTCCTCGGTGAGCCGCAGAGATTTAGGCGAAGGACGTTTCTTCCGCTTGAGGTCTAACCAAAGGTTTAAAACGTACGCTAGGTAGCCAGTGGCGCTTACAATGTATGTTTAAGTGCTAATTTCTAGCTATGTTTCAACCCCTTGTCTAAAATGGCTGTTCCATCTCTCTCCAAAACCAGACCTCTCCACTCTCTCTTCCGCTCTCTCTACCGCCCCAAACCCTTTCTCTTCTTCTCTTCTCTCACCCAAGAACAACCCACATCCCCGCCGTTAGCAAACCTCGTAACTGAAATCTCTCGCGTACTAAGCGACCACAGGAATCCTCACCATGACTTAGACCACTCTCTCACCACATTCTCATCTCATATATCCACTCAACTCGTCGAACAAGTCTTAAAACGCTGCAAAAATCTCGGCTTTTCTGCTCACAGATTCTTTCTTTGGGCTGAAAAAATTCCGGGTTTTCAACATAGTGATAAAAGCTACCATATTTTGGTTGATATATTAGGAAGTAGTAAACAGTTTGCTATTTTATGGGACTTCTTGATAGAAATTAGAGATGGTAAACAGTTTGAGATAAACCCAGAAATTTTCTGGGTTGTTTTTAGAGCTTATTGTAGAGCAAATTTGCCTGGTGATGCTATCAGGGCTTTTGATAAAATGGTGGAGTTTGGAATTAGGCCTAGTATTCATGATCTTGATCAACTTTTGTTTGTGTTATGTAAAAGGAAGTACGTGAAACAAGCCCAAGGATTCTTTGATAGAGTTAAGCATGAGCTTGGGCCTAGTGCAAAGAGTTACAGCATTTTAGTGAGGGGTTGGGGAGATATTGGTGAAGCTTGCCAGGCTCGTAAGGTGTTTGACGAAATGGTCCAACGAGGTTGTTCCGTTGATGTTCTAGCTTATAATTGCTTGTTGGAGGCCTTGTGCAAAGGTGGTAACGTGGATGAAGCTTATAAGATGTTTGGAGCAATAGGTTCGAGTGGGATTGAGCCGGACGCTTGTAGTTACTCTGTTTTCATCCGTGCATATTGTGAGGCTAATGATATTCACGCGGCATTTAGGGTGCTTGATAGAATGAGAAGATACAATCTTGTGCCTAATTTGTTTACTTACAATTGCATTATCAGAAAGCTTTGCAATAATGATAAGGTGGATGAGGCTTACCAGCTTTTGACTGAGATGGTTGAGAGAGGAATCAGTCCGGATGCATGGAGTTACAATGCGATCCTGGCATATCATTGTGAGCACTCTGAGGTTAATAGGGCTCTGAATTTAATTTCCAGAATGGAGAAAAATGAATGTTTGCCTGATAGGCACACTTACAATATGGCATTCAAATTGCTTATCAGGATAGGAAGATTTGATAGGGCAACAGAGTTGTGGGAGAGTATGGCAAATAGAGGATTTTATCCTTCGGTCTCAACTTATGCTGTCATGATTCATGGTTTATGTAAGAAGAGAGGTAAATTAGAGGAGGCATGCAGATATTTTGAGATAATGATTGATGAGGGTATACCTCCATATTCTTCAACTGTTGAGTTATTGAGGAATAGGTTGTTGGGTTTAGGATTTTTGGACAATATAGAGATACTTGCAAACAAGATGGCACGAAGCAGTTCTTGCTCAATACAAGAGTTAGCAAATGCAATGAGAGGTAAAACAGCCTATACTAAAACAAGAAATGGAGAAACAGAGCTTGAAAGTGAGTGAAAACTACCTTGCTTTTCAGTTTGGTGCCTCTCAAAGTGTAGGATCAATCTTAAGTTAATGACCGATTTTAACACTGTTGACAATTGATTTTTCTAGCAATATGGATTGATTGATTTCCATCCCACCTGACTCTTTTTTTCCACCTCAATGTGTTCACTTGTATAAGAAACTTACTTGTCAGATTACTGAAATTAGCGTTCTTCATTTGTATCTTATACCTGTAATTCAAGGAGACCAAAATTTGAAAATCTTCTGTTGTTATTATGGATCATAGGAAAAGTTTTCCTAACAATACCTAAAATTGAATTATAAGGTAAATTATACAGTCACACGAGAAAGCAAAGAGAAGTAAATTACAATAGAGGAAGTTCAATAGGAGGAAAACAACCAACAGAAAAGAATAATTCACCATAAAGGAAACAAACCAAAGAGAAAAGCAATAAGAAACAGTACATTTGTGATAGATGCATCTGCAGTCCTTATTGTTTCCCAAGGTTATAATTGCAAATGATCATAGAGCGTTGAGGAAAAGGGTATTTGGAGTAGCTTCATCTCTGATTCTATATGCTCTTGCCGCCTTTCCTCTCCAATGCTGATTATTGTTAATGTAGCTACCATGAAACTAGCTATTTCCACTGCGTTTCCTCTCCTCCAATGCTGATTATTATCTAATGTACCTACCATGAAACCAAATAGATTGTCCAAGCAGCAAATGATCTTGTTGTCCTTGGAGAGATTCTCTTTTTCCAGAACCTGCTCAACAATTTCTCTGGAAAGAAAACAAACACATGCTGATTATAGGTAGTGGAGAACTGTAGAAAATTTCATTGTACTATTATTGGTCCAAAATGTTTCATTAATGTTAACTTAGACGTAGACCAGACTCAAGATTACTCAGACATTCCAGGCAAGGAAATTTTCTATTTGCCGTACCAAGTCAGTTGGAATTGCAAACTACTGTACTTTGGAAAGGTTTACATTTCATGTCTGATATTCTTTCATGATTAATATGAAGCTTTAGCCTTATATCATAACTGTATCTTAGCTTTTGTATGAGAATTCTCTATGAAGAGCATAATTGGACTTGGATTAAAGCAAGAAAAATGTTTGCTTTCTGGCAACTCAGAATGCATGCATTGCTGCAAATCTTTGCTAGATATTTAAGTAGCTACTAGAAAACAGCAGAGCATGGAAATAAACATTTTTGCTTAGAAGTAATTTACATTATTATTGATTTAACAGAAATGTCTTAATCAACAATGAAATTTTAGTCTTATTTTTAATCGAGAATAGCATCAAAGGTAGCTAGAATCAAGTACAAAGTGAAAATAGAAGTCATTTGTTTATCTCTAAGAGGAATATAAACGACTAAATAAGTAAATGCTTAAATAGAAGTCCCAGGAGACACTCTGGCAAACATTTGAGACAGCATCAGTCGAACAGAGCCAACAATTTAACTCTTATAGCCAATCAGCTCTGATTTTAATTTATATTTTTCACAGAAATTCTCAAAGATTTCATGTTGGATGAAAAAGGTCCTGTGTGACTACGGTGCACTAGACGAGACATTACAAAAATATGAACTTATATGAGAGCGAAAAATCTAAATTACTGATGCTAGAGGTTCAACAAAATAATACTAACAGAGAGGGAAACCAAATGAAACATTATTAGGCCAATTTCACTTTCACTCATTTAAAGCTTTTTCAGTTTTCTGCATTCACCAATGTTTGAAACATGGAGGAAAAACATTTTTAGTGGCTTCATCTTCACCAATGTTCCTTTTGCTTTGAAAGCTGATTTTTTCTTTCTTTGCACTGTCATAGCTGAGTGGTAGCTTCTTCAACTTTGGACATCCCAGTAAACACTCTTCAATTCTAGAAGCATTGTTAACTGAAGGAGTTCAAGTACAACAAGATATTCAATCACCTTGTCTAGTTGACTTGGCTTTTCTTCGCTGATGATTTTTCCACCTTATTGCAGTCCTTTACATGAAGAGTCCTCGGATTTGAAGCATGAATAAGCCACGTCAAGGCCCTCACTTATGTCATCGGTAATATTATCACCCAGCGAAGACTTGCGATAACTGAGGTTTGTATCTTTTTGCAGAGCCTAGCATGCAGCCTCTCTAAACGATCCATATATGCCAAATGTAGAAACCTTTGATTTCCTAAAATTGCAGTGGTGTGTAGTTCTTCAATGCAGCTCTTAACTAGGGAAAGCTCAGAAATCATTCAAGAGCTGTATTACTATTCATGACTATACTCACTATATTCAAATGTTGCAAGTGCCCCAGTCAAGACATTCTAGTGAGCTCAATACAGAAAAATGCTCCACTAGTTCCTTTAGATCCTTACTCCCTGACAAGTTTAGAACTCTTAGATTGGACATAGAGTGGAATAAACCATCCCTGATCACCTTCACCTTACTCTGATTGAGAGATAGAGATCGGAGAGTAGAACATTCAGGCTTTCCGACAAGATTTTTAATTTTATTTACATCACAGACATTCTTCCTACATTTTCCACTGTCCAATTTTTGTAGCTTTAGATAATTGAGCCCTTTCTTTCACAAAAAATTTTAGTGCCTTGTGCTTCTATCATATTCGCTATCTGTAAGTCATGTCCCGAACTCATCGTGCATCTTGACACGTTCTTTTCCTATTTTCTTTAAAAAGGTAGCATTAGAAAGAGCACCGATAATATTGTATTTTGGTGAATTTAGATTGCTAAATTCACCAAAATATATACAATAATTTACCAAGTTAGTGTAAAAGGGGGTTTTTGTAATAGGAAGAGGAAGCGTTGCAAACAAGTAAAAGAATATATCGAAGGTGGCAGAGAGGAAGATTGGAGTAGTTCTTGAAGTACTAAGTGTCGTGGCAAGTAAAAGAGAGTAAGAAGAAAATTAGGGAGTGGAAGAGAATTAGAGAGAGATTTTAGAAAGAGAAGCTCTCTAGAGGAGAATGTGTTAACTCCGAGGAGGAGAGAAGCCCTTTTAAATGAATTGTGAGGCTCTATATATAGTGTTAAAAGTGACAGTTATTGAAAAATAGACTTTAATATGCCTAATGAATGACATTATTATGAAGAACATTAATGTGAGTAACCGCTACTATAATTAGATGTAATAAGATTTGTTCTCAAGTAAAAGGAAATAGAGAAGAGGTACACGTGAAAGGTACAAAAGAAGAAGCTGTACTTGAACAAGTACAAGAAAGAAGTTGTACAAGAATAGGTACAAAAGAAGAAGTTATACATGAATAAGTACAAGAAAAGAAACCATATGTGAATAAGTATACGAAAACAAGGTAGGAGAGTGAAACACTTGCACTTCAGGAAAAGGTTAAGAGGAAAACCTCTTAACTACCTCCATATCTAAGGCACCAAGCCAAACTTTTTGGAACATCCCAAGATGAAAGTAACCCACAAACCCTACCACTTATTTCAAGTTGCTTTCACTATCATCCGTGTGAAGTGGTTATTTTGTGCAAAGTAACTGTTCTACTTGTATTAGTTGTTCCATATTGAGTAATGTTCTACTTGTTCTACATGAAGTAGCGCTACACTTGTTCTAGTTGTTCTCTGTACAATATAATGTTGTAAATAATTTTTTTAGTGAATAGATATTAACTAAAATCAAGTATCTACAATAACTTTTAAGAATTGGACAGTCTTTAGGATATAGACTGCAATACAAAAGGCATGATCTCATTTTCTTGTTGTACAAGCTATTATAACTGTACTTTAAGAGATGATATACCTGGTCCATTTTCTCATGTATTGATTGCTTTAATTTAGCAATTACATTCTCCATAATTGGATGTTGCTAGCCATTGCCCACCTAATTGTAAATAGTGCGAGTGCAATCCATCACACTCTTGTAGCCACTCTTTTAGCTAGCTCTTTAATATTTTGATCATTATCAAGTATTTCTTATCTAACCTTTTCTAGAAACAATTTCCAAGCTTCATTTGATTTCAGATACTTGAATTTGATTTTTTTTAGAGTTTTCATTTCACCACATACAATATAATCTATCTAAATTAATACTTGATAAATTAATAACCTTGATTAAATAATATTTTTGGTTGGTCCAGACTTGGGACTAACGTGGTAAATTAATAATTCAATAAATTTATAAAATAATACATTTAAAAGAACACATAGATCCCACTTGATATATAAATTAATAATCTCTTTATACATCAAAATTATATATATGCATGACTTAAATAAGAGGCTTTTGTAAAATATGAATTAAATGTTACTTGTTTCTTCTTGAAATTGATCTCTTTAAACTTCATCTTTAACTTTTTTTAGTGCATTAAGAAGCTCTAGTTTAATGTTTTTGTATTATAAAAGAAAATTATGTGATGTGATTTTTTCTTTCAGTGCATCTTTGCATGAGACTGATTCCACTACAGAACTATCATCTTTAACTTCATCTTTTTTGTTATTTTCCATGATGTTCTGGATAATTTACTTCTCATGAATAATGATATTTGTAATTTGGTAATTAGGTAATATCCGTATAGTTATAATACACAACACACGTATTAAGTTCAATGTTTTAAAAAAATAAAAAATACATTGATAAATTAATTTTTTATTAATTAATGTATAAATTAATCAATTATTAATTTATCAATTAAATAATATCTTGACCAATTAATAAATTTTCATGTTCTCAAGGGTATTAATTTATAAGGGTTTACTGTAATGGTGAAAGACGAGTCGTGAATCTATAGTTTAGAACCATTTTCTTTGCTTAGAAGTGGTATCCCAACTTTATTCAAATCCACCCCTTCACATGGATTATCCAACAACATAACTATAAAGGGGTTTTTGTGAAAAGAAAAGAGGGAGTGTTGCAAATAAGTAAAAAGATATGTTGGAGGTGACGAAAAGTATGTTTGGAATAGTTTCTAAAGTACTGAGTGTCATAAAAGGTGAAAGAGAATAAGTGAGTGGTATGTAAGGCTGAGAATAAGGTAGGGAAGGACTAAGTAGAAAAGAAATATATATATATATATATGTCCGTTCGTTCCTCTTCGTAATGTATATCCACTTGGATTTTCCTCTGTGAGTAACTCTTTATCCAGAAATAACTATAAAGCTTGGACATGGCATGATCAGATCTCAAAGGGTAATATTCTTGTAGTAATAGGTGTGGTAAAAGAATTCAATCCTAAACCTTATGTGC